TCGGCTAATTTTCTCCATCTTAACAGCTCCAAACTGGAGGCTTTTTTCTTTGCCCCCTGCTCCCCCTCGGCTGTGGAGCCATCTCTGCCCCCTTCATTGTCAGTTTTGGTGAAGCCGACAATTACAAATTTGGGGGTCACTCTGGACGCTTTTTTAAAAATGGATGCACAGATAAATCAGGTAGTCAGGTCGTGTTTCTTTCATCTTCGCTGGCTGGCCAAACTAAAATCTGTCCTGAACGAAAATGATCTTCAGTCAGTTGTTCATGCTTTTGTAACGTCACGTCTGGACTATGCCAATTCTCTTTTATATGGTATTCCCTCCTCTTCAGTGGTGCGCCTCCAATTGGTACAGAATGCTGCCGCAAGGTGTCTTACGGGAAGAGCCGGATTAAATAAATGGACTTCACTAGGCAGGCTGCATTTTGCCCCCCCCCCCCCCCCCCCCCCCCCCCCGATGTTATCTAAGGAATTGAAATCTGAAACTTACCAAAGTTACTTATAAAAGTTCATTCACATTTTACATAGCCTAGTTTTTGGTTACAAATTGGTTGTTCGTATGCCAAAATGTCATGTGTTGTATGTAAAACATTCTATCAGACAATTTTTTGATATTAATAATTTATACATCATTACACAGCTGTATTAAATGCTAATAAATTATCCTCATCTTATCCATTGGGAGTGCCATTGTCAAGTGTTGGTCTTTCTTCTGTTAGACCAATCACAGGTACGGAGAAGATGGAGATAAACACCTTTCGTTGGTAGAATGTGGAGTCAAATGATCAGAAGTCCAGTCACTGTTTCACCGCTCATGAGGGGAGAGAACGTGCAGCTCCAGCTAGAACCCGCGTTCTGCTCTTGTCTGCTGCATCCAAGTGCTCTCTCCTACCCTGCTGATACGGCTGATTTTTATTGAGGAATACTGGAATGTAACATACGCAGTTTGCCATATACACACGTCATTGGTCATGACAGGTAAAAAATAACAGCCTTGTTAGTGGACAGTTAATACGTCACGAGAACATGCATCCGTGAGATAACTAAGAACATCCTGGTACGTCCTTGATAGGAAAAGATACACACACCGGTACCGAGAGGAACTTGAGAAGAGATGGAATGTGCTCACTCCCTTTTTTGGTGCAGATGAGAATATGCAGCTATTAATCTTTGTGCAGAAGAACACTGAGAGGCCCTTAGTATCTGAGCAGGTCTCCATAGCATATGATAATATAAAATAGCATAGAATAATACAGAAGAGCTTACAAGGTAAATACATATAAAAGAAGCTTATAAGGTAGATACATATATTTTCAATCCCCCTTTTGAACTCTTTTAAGAGTTCAACAATGATATAAGAAATCAAAACAACAACACCAAATTTCATCAAAAAGAATTTAATAATCAAAGATTTAAGATACCAATACAAACAATCAATCAGTTCATAGCTACTCAGCCTCTCATATTCCCAGCTGTGAACTTGTACATAAAACATGATTATATCTTTAACTGAACATGTTACTTCATGAATGTATCGCATGCTCACTCCGTATGAGGGCGAAAAACCCTTTTTACTGTACGTTAATAGGGAAAATTCCCCCATGTCCTCCCTTTTCGGGACGAACGCCGCTGGCACAGAGCGGGCATGCCTAGCTCGAGGACCAACATCCTCATCAATGGTCAAAAAAGAAACACAACATAATCAAAAGCTCATAAAAATAAACAGGTGAAGGGATTGTTACATAAATCACTGAACATTCTCACACTATAACATCATCTTCTTCATCATGGGAGTCATCACTATCACTAGAGGGTTCCCCTCCCAAATAGATGTTAGGATTGGCGAGTAACAAGGGCATCTGGAGAATGGGGTCAGCAGGTGGAGGAGAGATGGCAGTGGTGATCAATCTCTGGACTAGTTGCCTAAGGCAGGGGATACAGCAGCAGCCGCAAGTAACAAGAATGGCAGCGAAGACAGATATGGACACCAGGACGGAGGCCACGAGGGATTTGTATTTACCAAATACATCAAGCCAGGAGTCCCACGTGGAGGTGTCTACACCAGAGTGGGATTTCATTTTTTCCGTCAAAGAGCGGAGGCCGTCTAAGACCTTAGTTAAACTACCGTCTGAGGCCGTATTGTTGGGGATGAAGACCTTAGCCGACGAGCTAACGGGGTGAAGCGGATAATCACGTCCGCCGCTTCTTCTCGCGGAGCAGCAGCAAGACACAGCAATCTTGAGCAAACATGGAACACACGCCCCCTTTTTCAGCTAACAGCATGTCCACAGCAATTCTATTTTGGAAGGCCATCAGGGAAGTAGCCGATAGTTGTTGGTGTACTGCCTCAAGTGCCGTACGAGTATAGTTACTTAAGAGTTGGACATTGAAATGGATGTAATTAATGCGGTCGACATTTTTATTGGGGGTTATCCAGACAAATATAGACTCCCATCCGGCGGCTATTTGGTCACCTAATTGGTATTCATCTGGAACGCCTCTGGGGACGCCAATGGTATCTATATAAGTGGGATTGTGAAATGCAGGTAAAGATGGTAAAGATCGCTTTCGCCGGGTGCTGGAGTAAGAACTGGAAATAGGGGTATCGTGAAGGGTTACGGGAGTAACAGTAACAGGTAACAGTAAAGTAATAAGGGCACACAAACTTGAAGATTTCCTGGGAAAACCATTATAGAGCTGAGGAGCTCCACACCACCACCAGAGATTGGCACGCTTTTTGGGTTTGAATTGTGAGGACACTGACACAGTTGTATTAATGCACCAATTTTTGGTGACATTCCCCAGAAAAGGACCGCCTCGTCCAACTAGTTGAATACAACTAAAGTTGTTAGGGGCCACAATATTAGAAAAGAAGGGCCTACCTATGTCATCACCTGGTTTCTGTTTTGGAAAGACTTGTCCAAACTTGGTACAATTGGAATTTAGGGAAGTCCCGTTCATCAAATGAAGGACGCATTCTGGAGGGATCGGAGGTGGTACAATACGGAGAGTAGGACGAGCTGAGAGGCAAACAAGACAATCATGATCTGAAGCATTAGCTGCTTGTTCAGCCAGGAGTAACCAATTATTAGTGCTAGCGGAAATGCCGGTAACCGTCTGGAATGTCTCATCAACAGAAAGGTTTTTAGTCTCAATAGTTATCGCAGAAGAGGGTTTATTTACTCTAGTAGTGTCAGCTATCATAGGAGGGGAGGGAGATTTACTTATTCCGGCAATATCAAAGACGGTAGAGGTAGGTGAGGTGATATTGCGGACACAGAGGTGCACTGTCCAGTAGTAGCTCCCACTAATCCAAGGAGCAAGTACAAATAGGGTACATCCGAGGGAGTTTAGGGGACTAATTATGAAAGTCAAAGGGCCTGTTTTGGATCCGCCTTGTTTTATCAACTTGATTCTGGTACGCCAAGTTGTAGCTACTCCTTTGGAGTAGGATGACCAATCATCACCTGTTTCAGCAACAAGACTACTCCACTTCCATTGGGTGTAAGATCCCCACGTTAAAGAGCAAGTCACCCCCAAATAAACTTTTTTTTTGCTGATAAACTAAATAAACGAGTGTCTAATCGTGCTGCAGACACGTGTCGTCAATAATTTGGCACTTCAGTGCATCTTAGTTCAAATTTAAATATTCTGCCTAAAACTGGCAGTGTTGTGCCGTTGTCAGGTAAAAACTCTGCACTGTATTTGAATTTAAATCTGCCACCGCTATTGGCTAAGAAGTATGATATGATGTAAACTGGTACATTATGATGTCACAATGCTGTCGTGAGCCTGAGTGTGTGTGTATTTGTTAGCGGCTCCGCCCTCTCGGTCTGCCAGGCAACAGCATGTGTTGCATTTTTCAAACATAAAGCAGGAGTGGAGTTAGACTCTGGTAGGGGTTGACTTGCTCTTTAAGTACCAAACATGCTCTTTAAGGTCAGATGGTGTGTACTGACCATGTGCAGGGTTCGAGGGCAGAACATCGTAGGGAAGTGTAACCGTGGTGGCTGTGGATAATGGAATACACAGGGTAACTGCTTGAGTTAGATAGAGAAAATCAGAGGTACAAGGAGATGAGGGGGATGAGAGAGACAGGGATCGCTTGGGTCGGTCAATAGGTGGTGGAGAATGGGCCGTTGGCGTCAGCGGGGTAGCATCAGGGGATGTAGGGGGTGAGGGTGGCAAGGGGAGGTCATTGCAGAGGAACAGAATAGCCAATGGGATACATAACAGGATAACAGTGAGAAGTAGAATCAGGATACGCTGTCCGCACGTGAGGATGGGAGGAAATGGCCAGGACATAATTAGGCTTATACAGGTGTTAATTTAAGAAATTGTATGGGCTATAGCTGTTGTAATCAGTACCAGAGAACGCACTATATGCTAAAATTGCTATTGTTACCAAATCTTCTAAATTGGAGAAATCACGAAAGTATCTGTCATTCCACAACCCCAACCTGCTGTCCCTGTATGCCAACCGGTTCAGTCTACTTGGATACCAGGCTAATGGAAAGGATTCTCGTTGAATTATGTTACCCTCAGAATCTTCTTCCGGCCAGGACAAGTGAGTGATCAATATGTACATTCAGAATTGAGTTTGGAAATGCAATGAGTGTAAACATATATCTAATACTAAACAGGCAAATGAATAATAATATAAAATGAGTAGAGGGTGTAAAATATAACCCTTGTAAATTAAATGAGGGTGTTAAATAGAACCCTGGTAAAATAAATGGAGGGTGTTAAATATAACCCTTGTAAGATAAATGAAGGGTGTTAAATAGAACCCTTGTAGAATGTTTGGAGGGTGGTTACTTCTTCCCCCTGTTGAGGTCCCTCCACTGGCTCCAGGCAGCTGCAGGGGGTGATGATGTCACGATTCTCGTCCCGCTGGATGTGGTGGTAGCTTGGCATGCTACCTCGTCCTGCAGAATTGGTAGCTTGGCACGCTACTGCAGTCAGCTACTTCTCTTCCTGGTCTTTAGATCCTTTTTCTGGTCAGGCAGATGTCAGCTGCTTCTCGTCCTGGTCCGTAGGTCCTTTTCCCTGGTCAGGATCCTCCCTTTGTGACAGGTTCTCTTGGACCTCGGTCAGGGTGCGGTGGGGCTCTTCCGCTGCAGCACACTGGGTCCAATGGTACCAGGAGTCTCCTTTGCCGTCCAGCCGGACAGCGTGTGACGTCCTCTCCGTGATCCTGTAGGGTCCGGTCCACCTTGGTTCCGTCCACTTCCTTTTGGTGACTTTTAGTAGGACCCAGTCTGTCCCAGGTTGTGGAGATGGGGCGTCTGTGGTGGTACGGTCAGCCTCAACCTGTAACGAGAACTGAGAGACAAGACTATGCAACAGGTTATAATATGACCTTGAGTCGAGGGAGTCAGTCAGGTCAGCAGTCAAAGGTAATTTCGTGGCAGGTCCTGGGAACGGCCGTCCAGTCTGTAGTTCAAAGGGAGTGAACCTTGTGGTTTTGTTAACTGAGCTCCGTGTGAACATCAGAGCAAGGGGCAAAGCTTCTAGCCAAGTTAATTTGGTCCGTGCACAGATTTTAGCCAATTTGACCTTTAGCGTTTGATTCATCCTCTCCACCTTCCCCTGGGATTGGGGATGATACACTGAACCAAACTTGTGTTTCAGACCCAGCATGGTTTCAACCTCTTGTAGATCTTTGTTCTTAAAATGTGACCCATTGTCCGATCTGACTTTTTCCGGGAACCCATGTTGGGGAATATAATGATTGATCAAACATTTGATGACTGTTTTGCTGTCTTCTTTTTTCGCAGGCCAAGCCTCCAGCCATCCAGTATAGGCATCTACACACACTAGGAGATACCTGTAGCCTTTTACCCTGTCAATCATGTCTGTGAAATCTATGATTATCTCTTTTCCAGGGCATGTTGGTATTGGAAATTGGCCTTGGATTGGTTTCAGGGTAGGTTTAATGCCAAACTGAGTACACTCTGTACAGGTTTTAACCAAATATCTGGCCATGTCTGTTAGGTATGGATGCCACCAGAGGGACAAATTCCTCACCATCTGTGCTACACCAACATGTCCTACTCCATGCGCTTCTTCCATTGCCGTCTGCCTAATGCCAGGTGGCAGTATGGGTCTACCATCTGGACTTCTCCAAATGTCTGTGTTGGTTGCGCCTCTTGCCAACCACAAAGTTTTTTCCTGTGGCGAAGCTTGATCTTGCATGTCCTTCAGTGTTTCTTTTGTGATGGAGATCCTAGGGTCAATGCTTTTTTTCAACAGTTACTGTCTCAACCACTAGATTATATACAGGAAGATATTCAGCTGTTATCTTGGCAGCTCTATCTGCCTCCTGATTTCCCTTAGATATAAAGTCAGAGCCCTGACTATGTCCTTTGCATTTTATCACTGCCACTTCTGCTGGAAGGAATAAAGCTTCTGCTAGTTCCCTCATCTCAGACTCATGTTTTATTGGTTTCACCCCAGCAGGCACAAAAACAGCTCTCAACCATTGCTTAAGTTCAACATGCACGGCTCCTACAGCATAAGCTGAGTCACTGTAAATATTTACCTTTTTCCCTGTGCTCATTTTGAGAGCTGCAATGATAGCCAATACTTCTGCTCTTTGTGCTGACTGTTGTCCTTTTAGCTTTTCCGCTCCTGCAGTGAACCATTCGCCTGTAGGGAGATGCTCTACTACTGCCCAAGCAGCTTTTAATCCATCATTGTCATCCCTATAGCAACAGCTGTCTGTAAACCAGTTCTTATCGGGATTTTCTAGTGGGATTGCACTTAAATCTGGTCTGACCTTTTCTTCTATTGCTGTTCTTTGTTCGCACGAATGAGGTTCCCCAGTACCCATGTGGTCTGCCATGTTTATCCCTTCATGTGTGTAGGTGATGTGTGGGGCCTCTAAGATTTTACTGATTTTTCTTTGTCTTAGTGGGGTCATGGTGAAAGCTTGTGATGTGATGTAAGCTACTACACTGCGTGTTGTCAGTACTTTCAGAGGGTAGCCCATTACAATATGTGCTGTTTTTTGTAAAATTTTTGCAAGACCTGCTACATGTTGGGTGCAGGGTGGGTGTCTTTTTTCCGTGTTGTCCAGCATGACACTTATGTACATCAAGACTTGTCTCTGACCTCCCCCTTTTTTCTGGAACAGAACTCCATCAACATGAGTTTCTGATCCAGAAACATCAAGGAAAAACGTAGATTTGTAGTCAGCAGTAGCTAAATCACTAGCTGTGGACAGTTGTTGTTTAAGTTTTATGAATGCTTCTTCTGCTGGAATAGTCCAGTCCAGGCGAGCTGTGAGTTGACGCATCCCAAAAGGTGCTATAAGAGCACGTAGTGGGGCAGTGAGACCGACATAGTTGGGGATGAAGTGCCTACTGTAGCCTGTCAGGCCTAGGAAGGATAGCATGTCTTTGACTGTTTCAGGTTTAGAGTGATGGAGTATGGAGTTTCTATGATCTGGTGACAATGAAACGCCAACTTGTGAAACCAATCTGCCCAGAAATGATACTTGTTTTCTGGCTATTTGAAGTTTGGACCAGCTGACCTTAAATCCAAGCTTGGCCAAATGAGTTAGTAGAGTCTGAGTAGCTTGCAGACAGGAGCCTGCAGAGGGCGCTGACAGGAGCAGATCATCAACATACTGCACCAAAACACAGTCATCAGGTAGGGGGCATGTGTCTAGGAGCTGACGCAAACATTGGTTGAACAATCCAGGGGACAGGGTGAACCCTTGTGGCAATCGAGTATATCGGTATTGCTGTCCTCTGAATGTGAAAGAGAAAATGTCTCTCAGGGATTCATGAAGTGGAAGACAAAAGAATGCGTTTGCCAAGTCTATGCAGGTAAACCATGCATGTGAAGGTGGTAGGTTTGTCAGAGCCACATATGGGTTAGGGACGGGAAGTGAGTCTGTGTTAAGTAGGGCGTTTATACGACGCAGGTCATGAACCATTCGATATTTACCAGTATTTTTCTTTTCTACAGGTAAAATCGGAGTGTTCCATTCTGACATGGATGGCTCCAACACCCCTGCTTGCAACAGACCATCGATGGTGTCTGCTATCCCCTCTTCAGCATATGGTTTGTGTGGGTATTGTGGAACCCACAGGGGGAGCATGATTTTTGAGGTGAAAGGTCACAGGTGGGATGGACCCTAACCCAACATCGGTGGGGCCTGTTGAACACAGGGAGGTGGGAAGCGAGTCTAACATTGTCAGAGCATCAGGGTGATCGGTTCGTTCACGGCCATGAGATCTACTAATAGTTTCCTGTTGTAAATGTGTCGTATTAGTACAAACCGCAGTGATTTTAAATGTCTGAGTTGAGTCTGAATATGACACTTGTGGAAGAGGAGTCGAACGCCAATCAGTGGTTGCTAGGGAACGTTTAACCATTCCCCCTAGTTCTTTTGCCTGATGGGCCGGATGTAAAGCGAGAGAGACATGAGGTACTGCTTCATCTCCCATCATGTACCATGCCAATTGTTCCTGGGTTAGGTTGGCTGCCGCGGCCACACCTTCTGGTGCAGCATAAATATCTGTTGTTTGAACACACCATTGCTGTCCCTGTAGTTGGTTTTGGAATGCTTCTTTGTACCAGACTGAATCATGTCTGTCATAAAATAATGTTAGGTGAGGAGGGTCAGGGGGGAAACATAAGGATGGACCTGAGTCAGCCAGGGTTTCCACTGCTGGTACAGAGTCATTAAGCCAGGAGTGTCCTTGGTTTCTGTGTCCAACAGAGCCCAGTAAATCTCAGCACAGTCTGATATGTCAGGCAGTTTTTGGGCCAAGTACATGCCATCACTGGCTTCTTCGGTGCAGGGCAAAATAGTCCCTTCTGGCAGAGTGACAGTAAGTCCCGTAGGACCACACAAAATGGTGGCTCCTAACTTGATGAGGAGATCTCTTCCTAGTAAGTTGACTGGAACTGTCTGTGAACAGACGAAGCTGTGCAGTACTGTCTGGTTTCCCACCGTAGTTGGGAGTGGCAGGGAGAAAGGCAGAGTTTGTTGTTCCCCAGAGAAGCCCGTAACTGAGATAGTGTGTGTAGATGTCTTAGAGGGTGGTACAGTTTGTATGGTGGAGCAGGTGGCACCAGTGTCAACCAAAAATGGTTGATGTTGTCCATCTACAGTTATTGACAGCACGGGGTCTGCCGTGGCTCCCTGACCGTCGGAGTTTCTCTGTGGGGTGTCCTATTGTCTTGGACCACCCTCCCACTGGTCCCAGCCCATCATTGGCATCTGGGTGTGGGGTCCGGTAGGCCCTCCTCGTCCTGAAAAGGTGCCTCTGCCTCGACCTTCCTTTTGTGGGCTGTATGGCAAGGGGCAGTTCCTGGACCAATGTCCTGGTTGACCACAGTTGTAGCAAATGTCTTGAGCATGTGGTCCCCCTTTGCCGCCTACTGGCCTCCACTGCCCCCTTCCCCTGAAACCGCCTCTGGGTCGACCAGCAAAAGGTGGTCGCTGGGCAGCATATGGGATGGGTGTGTTTTGTTGTGGTGGCAAATATGGCCCTGAGTATGGTGGCTGCGGCTGCCAAGCTATAGGTGAAACCTGATCAGGAAGTGTCTGCGGTGTTGGGGGTGTGGCTGTGGACGCGACCATTTGTTTCTTAACCTTGTCCCCCTTTTCACCCAAAGTCTTTTTCGCGGCTTGTAATTGGACCCTGAGCAATTGTTTTTGCAAATCTTCTAAGTTATCAGAGTCTTTTTCTTCCTTTACCTGTACTTTGTTGAGGTTAAAAATAAGATGTTTTTTCCACATACTAAAATCACAATCCTGCAAATCTGGGTTGTCTTCCATTTTCTGAGTCACTGAGTCGGGGACTCCCTTCAGGACTGCCTTTTTAAACCACATACTACTCGTGCCCCGTTTGGATGGGTGTTGGCCAGTTTGGGCCACCCAATTGTCAATGGCTTGGTTCAGGTAAATTGAAGGATTTTGTTTAGTATCCCATTTAATTTTGCTCATTGTGCTGCTATCTTTCAGTGGGAACATCTTTCTGACTGCTGGGCCTAGTTGAGCTATCACTCTACCGAGAGGTACAGAATTAGAATCACGAGTTGTGCCAGCGTCCTTCTCTAGGGCCTCCGCCTGTGAGCGTGACGTGCACCTAGTGATTACTGCTCGGAAATCTCCCAATGCAAGGTCCTGTCCAGCAGTGAGGGTGTCAAAGTCTGAGAGCCAAGTGTTTCCACCCTCTTGTATATCTGGTAAGCCAAGGGAATACGGCTGATAAACTTTCTGGGCGTTGGGTTTATTCTGCACCAAGGTAATTGGTAGGTCGGTGGGGGGCCCATAGACCTAGTGTGTCTTCTGTCTGGGTCTGGGGATGGAGAGCGGGAAAGCAGGTCCCCTTCTCCCCTAGACTCTTCTCTCGTGAGCGGCTTCTGCCACTCCTCTGGTAGGAGGGATTCATAGCTCTGACTGGCAGTTGGAGGGGGATCAGATGATTCCTGCCCTACCAGAACCATTTTTACCACTACACTTTTATTAGGGTCTTCTTGCTCTTCTCCCTTTAACTGGGAGGTTGCAAAAATTGGTATAGGCTTGTTTAGGTCTGATGTTTTAGGCCATACTGGTGAGCTGTTTGCCCAAGGCGCTGGGGGCGGTGCATGGGAGCTCGTACCCGTGCCATAGTCAGGTGCGACCAGGCCCTGATTGAAGTAGGGAGTGGTGAATTGTTTTTGTGAGTTATCTATGTCCTGTCGTTTAGCCCTTAATTCGAAAGGTGCAGCTGGGTTGTCTGCAGATGGGCTGCTGTTTAATGTTTCATTACTTGGCAGAAAAGGATTATGTGTCTCAGAGGTGGAGGGCTTGACTTTAGTGTCTGATCCTGTTGTCATAGTTACGCCTGACCACTCACTCATACTATCCATTGGGGTTACAGGCTGGATGTCCAGTATGCCGCTCGTAACTTTTATTAATGGGTACATTCCAGCTGCTGGAGCAGTAGCGGAGGAATAAGGGGGTGGAGATGATTTATTCTCCTTTTTCACTTTCTTCATATTGGGTCTGGCTGCATTCCATAACATGATCCACTGCATGTACTTACTCACGCGACCAGTCTGCTTTTCAACCTCACTTTTCATTTTCTTCCTCGTTAACACTCCAGCTTCCCTTAGAGTTTCTTTAGCCTCCTCTCCTTTTTCTCTCGCCTCTGCAGCTTTTCTCTCCCAAATCTTACTCCAGTTTCCTCTGCTGTTAACATCTGCTCCTTTTTCCTTCATCGCTTTTTCTGCTTATTTTCTCAATAAAACCTTATTTTTCGTAGCTTCTATTGGGCTGCTTGTCATATTTATTACAGTCTCTATGCAGGCTAACTGCTCTCCCAGTGTACTCAGAATGTCATTAGGTCCCCATCCATCATCCTCCGTTCCACAATCATATTCTTTTTCCATCATTCTGTTAGTATGTTGCTGATTTTGGTGACAATTTGGACTGGCAAGGTTTTAGCCCATAGGGGGCTCTAATCACTAGTATTAATTAGTGAGACAACGCTAATGACCTTTGTGGTATCTTCTGCTTCTACCTTATTCAGGTGAGAAGATCTTACCTAGTGCATCCACAAAGGCGCGCTGTATTTCTCTCACTTACACATACAATTGTTAGTACAGTTCATTCATTCATTACCCTTCTTATCTGCGGTGGGTGTGGTGTTCACCGCTCATTCAGCTAATCCCCTATTGGTTATGATATGAAAAATCTATGTGTTTTTACACTTATCCTTACACTCTGCACTTTTCGTAAGTGCAGATAATATGTTTGCTCAGCCTAAAGAGACTTATTTACTCTCATGTGGAGTTTATTCTATCTCTTTTATTATGTAATTCAAGTTAATCAGTCAGCTCCATCTGTTTTACCGACAAAGCTGATTGAGACTTGACATTCATACAGCGTGTTCTCTAACTATGGCGTGTGTTTTGTGTCAAAAGACAGTTTCATTAAAACAGTTTTCTCATTTCATGCAAAGGTCCAAGACCTATAGAATTTTGGGAGTTCTCTCACCTCCCAGGGCCTCTAACCCCGAACCAGGTCCCTGACCTGTAGAATTTTAGGGTTCCCACCCCCTATGGACTCCAACCAGGCATTATATAACCTTGTTATATTTCTATTCACTCGTCAGTAAATAGTTTGGTCCGCCACGACCTGGAAAATGGAATTTAGGACTTTTTATTTGTCCTGGGCCTCCAACCCTTCTTTAAGTGGAATTTAGGGCTTCTTAATACCCTGGGCCTCCAACCGCTTGTTCTGTCCTATTTCCTTATTTCATTTATCATTAAACCATTGTAAAAATCCTTATCTTATTTTACCATTAAACCATTACAAAAAATCTCTTATTATTTCTGCACTTGTCTCCACTTTCTTCTCCAACGATTATTTTAGGACCACAGCTACTAAGATTCAAGACACAAAGGCTTTGGATAAATCCAATGAGCAGATTTTTAGAAAAGGTTCTGCTTACCTTGTTTTCCACCGCGGTGTTTTGTGCCAAGATCGTTCGCTAGGTCGGTTGGTCAAATCGTCCTCCAAAAACTCCTTTTTCTTCAAAAAGAAAAAAATCCTGTTCGTGACGCCAAATTTTGTTGGTCTTTCTTCTGTTAGACCAATCACAGGTACGGAGAAGATGGAGATAAACACCTTTCGTTGGTAGAATGTGGAGTCAAATGATCAGAAGTCCAGTCACTGTTTCACCGCTCATGAGGGGAGAGAACGTGCAGCTCCAGCTAGAACCCGCGTTCTGCTCTTGTCTGCTGCATCCAAGTGCTCTCTCCTACCCTGCTGATACGGCTGATTTTTATTGAGGAATACTGGAATGTAACATACGCAGTTTGCCATATACACACGTCACTGGTCATGACAGGTAAAAAATAACAGCCTTGTTAGTGGACAGTTAATACATCACGAGAACATGCATCCGTGAGATAACTAAGAACATCCTGGTACGTCCTTAATAGAAAAAGATACACACACCGGTACCGAGAGGAACTTGAGAAGAGATGGAATGTGCTCACTCCCTTTTTTGGTGCAGATGAGAATATGCAGCTATTAATCTTTGTGCAGAAGAACACTGAGAGGCCCTTAATATCTGAGCAGGTCTCCATAGCATATGATAATATAAAATAGCATAGAATAATACAGAAGAGCTTACAAGGTAAATACATATAAAAGAAGCTTATAAGGTAGATACATATATTTTCACAAGGCGGTACCAGGAAATATCCACTAGGTGTCATTAAACTATGCAAACAGAGTAAATATGTGTCTCTTATTTGCTGTTTATATTTAATCACTACATTTAATTAAAAAGATTTTCTGCAAAATACAATAGCTTACAACATTTATAAATGTTGACAAATTAATCACATGATGGTGGAAAGACATTCAAGAATAAATAGATTAATTTGAATGGACTGAAGCATGTTTTAAAGGTGCAAAAACAAACTATAAACACGCAGCTTAAATTGTTAGAGTATAAATTTAATACAATCTATAATCTTAAAAGAAAGTATTTTAATAAAATGAAAACGTTATCTTAAGTTTTGATCTTGCTTTATGCTCATTCAGGTTGTTATTGCCTCTGCTGAATCAGAAATTCTGTGTCAATTTTCTGAATGTGAACTTATTGTTTTGCTATTTGAACATTAATAAAATTATTTGAAAAATAATTAATAAAACCAACAACACTTACCTAGGAAACCATTTAGCATGCTCCACTCCGGGATAATCTTCAGCCTTCCAGCATCACATGCCTCAGTCACAGCAGAAACACGTCTGAAGAAATGTTCCTTGGTTAAGCTTCGGTTTATGTCTCCATATTTCCTCTGTGATGCCGAAGAATATCCAATATTTTGAGAGGGATGGTTTATTGCAAAGTACTCACGCATCGTGTCATCAGTTTGGTACCACTTTGCAGGATCAGATGGGTAGCTAGTTGTTAACACCCTTTCTGGGTCTAGAGGTCTATCTAAGACTATACTGGGCTCACTTCTGGCTGGCTGCTGTTCTTCCAGTTCATCCTTCCGTGAGGGCGTTGATGTTGACGGCGTTGGCGCTACAGCGTCTTCCGCCGCATTTCCCGCCGCATCTTCCACCACGTCTTCGGGTCGTGTCTCCTCCGGTTCTGACGTGGGTCCGGCCTCTGGCTCTGCTGACTCGAGCAGGTTCACAGCTGTCGGACGGCTGCCCGAACAGCCCGACAGAAGGCCCCCCCCCCCCCCGTCTCTTCTTTTGTTCCTCTTCATTTATTATTTTTTTTTATGTTTTGCCGCACCCGAAAGCATCGTGAAACTTAGCCTACTGAAAATATATGTAAATCTCATATAAGCTCTTTTATTATTCATTGTTATATGCTACTTTTTTCATTATGGAATCATGTTATAATATCAAAGGCCTCTCTGTGCTTCTCTCCTGCACGAGCTCTAAACAGCTGCAGGAACTCCAAAAGGGAGTGAAAGTGTTCCTTCCTTCAGTTCCTCAATACAAGAACAACTGTCTTTGTTAGCAAAGGATGTTGCAGGATGTGTCCTGGTCATCTCAAGGTTGCATGTCCTTGGGATGAATTGGTCTTTCATTAACAAGGCTATTAGCTGACGTGCGTCTGCAGGTGCAGATGGCAGAATTACGTGTGTGTATGGCAAACTGCGTATGTCACATTCCTGTACCTCTCAATAAAAATCAGCCGTTTCAGAAGAACAGGGAGAGTGTCTGAAGCAACTGTCAGGAGCAGATCGAGGGATCTGCTGGAAGTTGCAAGCCTCTCCCCCTCATGAGCGGTGAAAACAGTGACTGGACTTCTGATCATTTGACTCCACATTCTGCCAACTCAAAAGGTGTTTAACTCCATCTTCTCCGTACCTGTGATTGGTCTAACAGAAGAAAGACCAACAAATTTGGCGTCACGAACAGGATTTTTTCTTTTTGAAGAAAAAGGAGTTTTTGGAGGACAATTTGACCAACCGACCCAGTGAACGATCTTGGCACAAAACACCACGGTGGAAAACAAGGTGAGCAGAACCTTATTTCTAAAAACTGCTCATTGGATTTATCCAAAGCCTTTGTGTCCAGAATCATAGTAGCTGTGGTCCTAAAATAATTGTTGGAGAAGAAAGTGGAGACAAGTGCAGAAGTAATAAGAGATTTTGTTGTTGTTGTTGTTGTAATGGTTTAATGGTAAAATAAGATAAGGATTTTTACAATGGTTTAATGATAAAGATAAGGAAATAGTACAGAAGAGGGGTTGGAGGCCCAGGGTTATTAGAAAAGCCCTAAAATCCATTTTCCATGTCGTGGCTGAGCACACTATTTGCTGACGAGTGAATAGAAAATATAACGAGGTTATATAAGGCTTGGCTAGGATTTCATAGGGGGTGGGAACCCTAAAAGTCCACAGGTCGAGGACCTGGTTCGGGTTAAGGCCCTGGGAGGCTAGAGAGAGCTCCCTAAATTTTATAGCACAGGTCGAGGACCTGGTTCGGGTTAAGGCCCTGGGAGGCTAGAGAAGAGCTCCCTAAATTCTATTGGTCGAGGACCTTTGCATGAAATGAGAAAAAATGTTCTAATGTACAAGGTCTGGGACCTTTTATGAGACAAGAAAAGTTGGGTTTGAGGCCCTAGGAGGTAAAAAGAGATCTCCTAAAATTCTAACAAAATTTTTGGACCTTTAAAGGTACCAAGTAACTGATAAATAAATAAAAAAAATAATTAAAAAAAAAGCACAGCTGTAGAGAAGCTTCACTTTGTGTGTAAGCTGAGTTCGGCCTGTGCGTGTGTGAGGCGCAGCAAGAGGCTGCTTACGGCTCTGGATTGAAAGTGCAGCACTAGGAGAGTGCAGAATGCAGAGCCGAGTTTTGGGAGCTCCGTGTGTGTGGGTGGACAGCGCTGGATGATGTGTGTGTGTGAAGGCCTGATGCGGTACCAGAAAATAAATAAATAAGATAAATAAGAGCTTTAAAAAGTTGCAACTCGTATATGTAAATTACACTGCAGTGCTAAAATTAATGTTTGGAGCTACGCAAAATTCAAATTCTGCAACCCTGTTCTGATCAGTCTTTGAATAGAACACCATAAGTTAATAAATAAAAGGTTTTTAAAGTAACATATGTATATGTATGTGTGTATGTATGTATATGTGTATACATATATATACATATGTAGTGTACAAGCGTGATAATCATTTGTGTGCGGGGCAGCATGTGAGGGACCCCGATCTGGGGGTTAAGTGGCCGGG